TACGTTGGTGTAGTCTTCTACTGGCTGTTATCAGGTATATCTGAATGTGTACAACAGGGGTTTGAGCAAAGCTTTTACCACTGAATGATGCAGAAAGTCTCACATCCAAAAGAAACCCGATCAGATATCACACATTTGGCTTTATAGGGTTAAGACACCAAAACAGCTTTAAAAGCCCCCCAAAAAACAGTTTTGAAAGCCCCCAAAAATAACTTTAAAATCCCTAAAAAAACTGCTTTAAAAGCCCCCCAAAAAACAGTTTTGAAAGCCCCCAAAAATAGCTTTAAAATCCCTAAAAAAAACAGCTTTAAAAGCCCCCCAAAAAACAGTTTTGAAAGCCCTAAAAAACAGCTTTAAAAGCCCCAAAAAACAGCTTTAAAATCCCTAAAAAACAGCTTTAAAAGCCCTGAAAACAGCTTTAACCCTTTAAAGCCTGATCCAAGAAAAATAGGAAGAATATTGTATTTTTTTAGTCTGAAGTCTTTCTTTGGGTTAGGTTAGGGTTGGGTTAGTCTTTTGGGTCTCAGATCCAAAAGACTTCAGATACCGGATCAGATATGACACATTATATGACAGGTTAAACAACTTAACGTGACTCCAAACTGATGCTTAACCCTAAAAGTGAGGAGGCTTCTCCGGTTTGTGAGACTTGATTAAAACCTGAGAGAATCTCATCCAGAGATTATTACTACAAACCGGGGAAATGAGCGATTGTGAGCAGGAGAAAAGTAATTTCATTTCCCAACTCTAAATCCCTCGTCTGGCCCCCCAAACATAGGTTAAAGGATCACTTCTGTGTAATCAGAGAGATTACCAGGCAATAAAAAGCCCGAACCCACGAAGCCATTAGCCTGCAAACAACAATTAGCCTCCACGAGAACAACGGCTCGCTATTCCCTAATTACTGAACCACAATCAGGAGATTAACCACGGTTAGATAGAAAACGATTAAGAACTAAACAATTAAGGCCTGTTTTCCTTTTTTATCGTGCCCTCCAAAGAAATTCCAGCTCCCAGGTTAAGGCATTTCAGAGGAGATCCAGAGGCGAACCAGAGGAGAACCAGAGGAGATCCAGAGGAGATCCAGAGGAGTTCCAGAGGAGAACCAGAGGAGAACCAGAGGAGAACCAGAGGAGAACCAGAGGAGTTCCAGAGGAGAACCAGAGAAGTTCTATAGGAGATCCAGCGTTCCTGAGTTTTTCTAACTCAGCTTAGCTGAAAACGCTTTTAGAATGAGGGGGAGAAACGCCTGAAGACCCAAGAAGAAGAAATCCAGCTCCTTTACTGACTGAGAATTGCGTATCTCTGTGGGTCCTTGCGTGTCTCTGTGGGTG